TTAATCTATACGTATAGAGTCACTATACTATACCTGGGCATGTTGAAGCACAATTGACATTAACTTGTACCTCTAGATCGGAACTGTCCAGATGTTAAAACCGCGGGCCAATTCAAATCACTGAATAGATTGAAGTGCCGCATAAATAAATACATGCATTTATAATTTTGCAGGAGAAAAATGAAAATGGGGCGATAATTATAACATGTCGTGATCCGCACAAATATTAGCGGCGGGCCGCATGATACCACAGTTATAATTTGTCATACAAAGTACGTTCTTCTAGATGGATTGAACCGAAAACAATAAACTGTCTTTAGACTTGACCAGAAAGAATTACTACGCCCATCACTGTCCACTTAAAAAGCTTTCATAAGGCTTGTAAGAAAATCTGCTTTACATTATTGAACTGTTGTAGAATGGACCACATAGTTTAATACAACTTTTTGAAGTAGTTTAGCTTTAACACTACTGTTTAAAATACTGTATCTCAATGAACTTTGAAAATGGACCTCTCCAATGATTTATTTTCGTTTCATGGATCAAAAATCTACATCACAAGCTGAAAGGGTCTTCAAAACGAAACACATTGTTTACATGATGTCCAGTATCAAGACGATATAAATGTACGAGGCAGTTCTTAGGTACAAGAAATCAAAATAAAAGAAAGAAAGGTGAGAATATTTGCAATACCTATTAACTGAAATTTAAGGCAAAGAAAAATGTTTCGAAAAAAAAGATTTTTTAGTATGTTTATATCATATATCATATACATTTTGAATGTGTAACTTACAAATATTTTTGGTAAATATTTTAAAAAAAGCGGTTGCCTTATTTGCTGATATAATTTATACTGGTCAACTGATATCTACAACAAATTGTTTTATTATTTGAAAATAAAAACTGAATGTGGCGGGGTCATTCACATCTTTGTCTGATTTATTGTCTGTTATTATAATATATAACATTCATATCTGATTCGCATAATAACTTAATAAGACGCTCATAGTAAAACAGTGTAAGATTGCTAGACTGGAATGTCGATGAATAAAAAAGCTTACGATGTCAATAAAATATACGATAGGATAAATCCTTTTTAAAAAAAAATAAAAAATAAAGGAGTTTTTTCGAAAAATGGTAACTGCAACAACAAAAATTCTCCTTTATATTATTTTAATTGACTGAATTTTTGACTAATCATGCAACTGTTTCGAGTATTGCCAAATACCGATCATTAGCGGTCTTGGAAATAATTCTTGTATTTAATTATTCGTAAATAATTTTTTTCAGACCGCAATTACCAGGAATCCAACTTGTGTCCTTTCAAATTTAAAGCTCAGAGTCAGCGCACCTTAGCCAATTGACCCAAAGCCGTACTTGAATTTTATGTTACCAAATTTTTCTGGAGTTTTGTTAATTTGCTGTTAAAGTTTTATTAACAAATTCACTTGCTGTGTTTATATTAGAACGATATCATAAAACCAGCTATAGAATAATTGAATTAATTAATTATATTTTTATTCTTAATTGTTAAATTTCAATACTATTTTGTTTGTAGAGGCATTATTTTTTGCATGATTTATATATTCTTTCTTATGTATAGAACCTAATCTAGGAACGTAATACTGAGCAAAATAAAAATTATAATTCGAAAAAAGGGAATACTTTATTTAAGGTTATAAACTTAAGAACTTTAAGCATATTTAAGATATACGTAAGTGTACAACTTACAAATTTAATGCATAAATACGGAGTTGAAAGAGATCTAAATGGATTATCGTAGGGACTTTCATCCCTACGATAATTTCTCAGAAACTTGAAATCGTTTTTATTTACTTTTTATCTTTAACAATGATATCCTGTCTAATTAATTTTTATTTCTAATCATATGTTGTCTTTTGTGGATTTGGATACATAGGTTTAATGGATAAATCCAGACTTAATGTAGATTTAATTAGATCTAAAATTTCATTTTTTTAAAAATTAGCACAGTGGTAACATTAAAGTAAGAAATCATTAGGAATATTTAGAACGCGGTATTTGTTTTGGTCGAATAACATCACATTACCGAGTTACCAAGTACGGCGTAAATACATAGGAGTTAATAAGACGAAGGTTACTATCCAATTGGTCAATGTTCAAAGTTAACTAGAGGATCTTTAACTTATTTTTATATACATAAGTATTTATAGTAATTAAATATTTTTTTAAATAAGTTATAAATTATATTCAATAAATAAAAAACTATTTAATTTCATTTATTACACTATTTTATTCACTTGCTATTAAAAAAGAAAAAAACAAAATAATAACCAACAACCACACTGGAAAAAGAACTGTTAAAGAAAGCACAGAAGAGAACTGCTGTTAGGTGGTGAAAAAGTAGCGTGAAATTAGTTGCACTTTTTCTTGTTGGATTGCAGCTCCACTACTTACTTTACTATTTGATAATATTATTCCCAAGCGAACAGAAGTAATACCAAAGCAAAGAGAATTAGAGATAAATTGAACCAGATAAGCAAGAAAAGATTATGTGCGAGGTGGATTAAAGCAACGATGGTGGAGTGGTGCTCTGCTGTTAAATGAAGCGCAATCGCAATGTTCTTGGGAAGCATTTAGCAAGCAAAAAAACAAAAAAAAAGAAACAAGAAATTGCGTTTGTTCGGAAGGGGGTGGGTAAAACGGTTTAAACTAACAGCAGCTGTGCACACTATTTTAACGAGTAAAACAACAATATTTTTGCACTTGAAGTTTTTTATTTATTGAAAGTTTTATTTATAGAAAGAACTTTGCATGAATAGTTTCTGTTAGAAATTAATCTACTAAGGAAATTAAATAAAGAAATATTTTACCTTTAACAATTATTTTGTGTCGTTATTTATTTCCAATTGACTTTAATTAATTAACTTTATGAATTCACAATTTTTACTTATTTTCGATCTTTTGGAATATAACTGCAATTTTTTTGTTAAATTGCCTTATGCAGCATAAAAAACGAATACACACGATTGCGCTTCTTGCTTGCTTAAAGCTTTTCTTAAGAAATTCTGATTCTTGTAGAATTCACTTTTAAAATATTTTGCCTTATTTTTATATAAACAATTTAAAAGTTACACAATTTCTCACATTTAAACAAAATTTTTTGCAAACTTGAAATTTTCTATTTATTTCTTATTTATTTTCAACCACTTTGTTATGCACTTTACTCGTTTTACACTTTATTTTAGCCACTTCTCGCCACTTTATCACTTCTTTTTTGTTAAAGAAACTAGGCTTAGAGAAGTTGCAAACAATAATTGCATTATATTTGCTTTAATAACTTTTTCAAACACCGTTTAGGCTTCTTATATTCTTTTATATATGTTTAACTATTTTATTTATATAAAATACGCTACATATATATATATTTGTTTTGTTAAATATAATTGCTTTAATAAACACAATGCCATATCAGAATAACAAACCAACCGGATCAAATCACATCACACGAACGACGGACGTATACTACTGTCAAGATGGCATTCATTTTTTTAAACTAGTGTACAATTATCCATAACATATTGCATATCTTGCTACTTATGCGAAATGTCAAAATGGCATAACTGTATATGGTTGTATTTATACTTTTAATAAAATTTATTTAAATAACTAAAGTTATATAATTTTATACATTATATTCGGTTATAAACGATTATAGACAAAAATTGAGAAGCACATTCATTCTTCATTAATAATGAATTAATTTCTTCGTTTCATAAAATATTTATTGACAGAAACACAACTTTTGGGAAGTGTGATATAATATGTAATTTGGTAAAGTAACTATTCTCTGTACATTTTTGCCTCATATAGCTTAAAATTGGTTCTTCAAATTCGAGTTTTAAAAGTGCAAATGTTTACATAGATTACATAAACAGTAATTAATAAGAAGAGGCTTACCGGATGTTGCAACTGGTGTTTTAATTTCAATCAATCTGATAATGCTTTCCATATTATTGCATTAAATAAAAAATTAAAATATATATTTATTTAATATTAACAAAATAAAATTAAGAACACTAAAAAATATTAACATAATATATTACAATGAATGAAAACAGATATAAAAACATGGCCAGTATGGGAATGACATATAGCACTTATAATGAAACTTTGCAATTTTTTCAAGCAGGTGTTCAAACTCACCATTATTATTGATTGCAATAAACGAAATCTCTAATATTATTTTTTATACCTCACATTAGACCGTATTATATGTGTGAAACAAACCAATTAAACCTGTCCATTTTGGAATAACTGTACTTGTTTAGCATAACACATTTTTAGTACATAAATTGCAATTAATAATTCAGCTGGAACTTGTAATTATATTAAAGTTCTTTGAATTTTGTTTCAGAAAGTTGTTATAAAAACTTGCAAGTTAAATGAAGCTAATTTTGTTTGAAGTGATATTTACGAATTCAGTTCGGTATGATTTAATCATTCAAAAAAACAATTATTAATTATTTCTATTATATTTTTGATTATTCCTGTTAGATATTATAAATAAATAAATTTCATAAATAATTCAATTCATAATATATTACCAATGCAATATTTTATTATTCATATATATATTATATATTCAAAAATTTTAAAATCACTTCTAAGAAATCAATTTTGGTTTACAAAAACAAATAACTGAAAACTGGTATAAATAATAATTTGGTCATGTAAAAACTGGAATATGGCAACACTATTAAAAACATATGGTGAACATAAATATGTAAATACATTTGCTTTGTTTACATTTGCTTGACAGTTAATTGTTTATTAAGTAAAATAAAATTAATATATTTTTACAATTTTGGTAATAATTATAATAACACTTATGAAATTATAAATCAATGAAGTAGTAAAAGAATTCAGTTACAATAGTTTTGCGTTTGTTGTAGCCGATTCATAAAAATTGGATACATATATGTTTCTTATACATCGTTCTTCATATATAATTTCAAATATGAAATACTTGTTAACTATAAAATGGAATGCTGAAACTTATCCATCAAGCTTTAATCGATATATGATATTAAATTTTAAGACAAGAAAGGAAAAATAATTTTTTCAACATAAGCTTGGCCTTTATGGTTGATTTCCACAAGCATTCGTGAAGTCAGTATTTACTGGGATTATTATACTTCTATTCGTTTAATAAAACCCACAAATATAATTATCAGTAGACGAGATATACATGATGATTATATCAATCAATATTAAATAGAGAACTAGGTATAGAAAAAGCAGTTCACAGAAGTGTTCTTAGTAGAACATAAAAATCTACAACAGCAGAGCATTTCAACTGGTAAAATATGGTGTAACATGAAAAATTATTCATTAGGAAAACTGTTCCATGGTAATTAAATAACATCTAATATCATTTACAATTTTATTCTAATCAATGATTTTATTTTCAGAAATTACATTTTTAAAATTTATTTGTGTACATAAAAGGACTGCTACAGTCGCAACAGTTAATAGAGTTGCTAACCATAGATAAAAAAAAATTTGCAAAAGCGTTAGCACTCAACAGCTCAAAACATAAAAATGTCTATTTGACTTTTTTTAAATGGGAAAATGTGCAGACAAAAAAAGTTTTCGTAATGATCATATAAAATGTAAAACGTAAGTGGTATTGACACAAACAAGCGTAATTGAATATTGTATTTATTATTATAATTTTATAGCACCATAATAGATGGAGAACATGGATTTCATTTCGGCGACGTGGCATCCTATTAAAAAGCGGGTATCTGAGTAATATGTTGATCAGGCAAACTTTTGATGGAAATTTTCGGAGATTAGGAGTCTTTTTTAGAAAGTGTGTTAAACGTCAGACGTAGTTATATTCATACAATAACTACAATTTGTATTTGTTATTTTGTTTTTATATCACCACATTAATTGTGGCATTTCAAGTGTTTTAGTTGTTGAAATCAGAGAAGAAGAAGTACTATCCTCTAGCTATTTAATTTATTTAAATATTTATTAATTTATTTATTTATTCTCTTAATTACTTATTTATTTATATAATTTCTTATTTATTTATTTGTCTACTTATTTGTAAAATAAGTCCAACAAAATTATTGTAACTATGGAATAAGAAAGGATTTGTAAAGGCTTCGACTCAGAATATAAAAATGTGATAATTAAGAAAATCAGTATTTTAGATTTCTCAATTAGAAATAAATTTGCATTCTTATATAACTAAACCCTGTTAATTTCTAATAGCTATTCGCGCTAAAAGAAACGAAGTCCGCGTAGGATAAGTTTAAACGATGCAATCTGTCAACAAATGCTGGAAAAGTATTGCGAAAAATTCAAGACCAAATAAAAAATAAAACAAAATACACTATTTTAATATACTTTAAGTGGGAAATATATTAGTTAAGGAATAAAATATTTAAATCCGCATCATATATATCCTGCAGTATATTTCTTCGTCCGTAGAATATATTTAGCCTTAAAATTAAAATAGTATATTGTATATAGTCTAGTTTTTAATTTGCTTAGAATATAAATAATATAAAAAATTTAAATAAGTTAAAATATTATTTATTTAAGTTGTTTTTTTATTCAGTAAATAGCATACTTCTGGCAAATGTGCACCAATATTGAGTCTTGAAGACGGTACGAAGACGCATCTGATCATGATTTGCATCTAATTTGCAATACAATGTTAAATTCCATCTCCTTTGTTAGTTTTGTAATCAATTTGACAACTAATGTATTAAGTTCTTTATCATGTTAATCGAATCTATTACTGAATTCAGTGATGTAGGAAGTTTATTAATGATAAATTATCTTAATTTCGATATATACTTTTTAAAATTTTTACATTAATAACTATATTATAACTAATAGTTGGGCCTTTTTTTAAGGATAGATTTAAATTGATCGCTAGATCAACTATTGTTAAAAAGCGAACCCTAATATCAATTACATTATTATCAATTTTTTTTAGCTAGTAACTAGTAACAAGTTAAACATAAAAAGTATTGTATAAAGCAATAAATGAACAGTAATAAGGCTAAACTTATCACGCTATTTCTTGAGACTAAATTTTAATGAATCAAATCTGTTAGACGATGAAGCTTATTACTTCAATTTGAAGTAATCCTAATCATAACATAGATTTTTTGCCTTTAAATTCTGATTTATAAAAACTATGATTCATTTTTTGATACAAGCTTCAATTTCATGCTATTAAAGTTGATTTCTCACTTCAGAATTGTTTAAAACGTAATAGGTAAGTGAAAAAATATTTCTTAGCGTCATATCCTAATTAAGGTCATCTAGAAAAAGACTACAGTGACACATCTGAATCCCTTTTATTATTACTTAAAACAAAATTAAGTTCTTGCATCTCAATCTTCAGTAATGTAGGATAAAGAAAAACTTCTTTTCTTTTCTCCAAATTTTGGTTAACTGAAATTAGTGACGAATTAATTTATAGACACCTATTTCAATTCTTAGTGATGTAGCTCAATAGAATACGGATTTCTCGTCTTTAAACAGAATTCGAATGGAAAATTTTAGTCGTATCACGCAATGTTATCAATGTGCTTACCTTTCATTCTAAAGTCATAAAAAAGGCACAATGGGTCTTCAAAGTCGTAGTGCGAGATTATTATGTTAATAACAATAATTTGTTTCGTTTATTTATATTTCATATAACAATGTGTAGTACATTAGGACGAATGACATCCTCAGGGACATCAAGATTGATCCCATCAAAAAATACATAAAGGATGGAGCCCTGAAATTATTTGCGAAAACTGACAGACTTACCAACACCGCGTTATCAAATCCTAGAATGGTTACAGGCTCCTCGGGGAGGTACGCAGATCTCAGGTGAATTATTGCTTAGTCTGATGAAGTGATAAACAATAATCTAGTTAAAGCGCAAAGAGAGGTTTTGAGGGGTATATTCCAAAAATTAAACACAATTATTGCTTTATTTAAAAAACAAGTTAATATATTTAAAATAATTGTATATAATTACATATACATGCATGTATACATATATATATATATATATATCTGTATTATATTATATATATATTAATATATATATATGTTTTCTTAAATATTATATGTGATATAACCTAAATGAACTATAATAATAAAAAAACATTAAATAATAGAAAAACATTTCATGTACGGCAACTATTTATTAATGCTCCTGTAAATCATTGGAGCCGAACGATCATTGGTTTTGGTGTGACGTAGTTTGACTGTGGCAAATTGAGACGCACTGCAAAACATATTCATTAGAAGAATATAAATGGAATAAGCAATAACCATTAAATATACTATATATAACAATATTTTCATTAAAGGAAATAAAAAGAGAACTACATTAACAATTACAAACATAAGATATTATATAGCAATGCGCTTTTAATAATGGCTACAAACATTTATATTTACATAGCAAAAGTATATATATATAATTCACTAACAAAAGATATATAATTATAAACAAGTACATATATATAAAACTTCAGCATTATTTATTTATGTGTATATATATTATATACTATCAACGATAATATATGTATACTTGTGTTTTAGTTTTCAATTTTTAGAATTTATAAATGTTCCGATAGATACCACCCTTTCTAAAAATAAAAATAATACAAAAATAAATTAGGATTTTCTTTAAAGACATAACGATAATGTATGAGTATGAAATGTAAATCGGAAGATAGATATGTCAAGTGTAAAAGCTAAGTTTAGAAACTGCTTGACACACATTACATGTAATTTAGTATAAAATCGTATTAATCGCTTTGAAATTGAAGAAATTTATTATATATGTATAAAATATTAGCACTGTACAATTAAGATTAGATTTCAACTTAATGTTATTTAAGAAATTTATATTTCAATATAATTGTTATTTTATGCTAAGTTAATTGTTACATAGACTAACGAGTTAGAAGATTTCTATTATGTTTCTATTAGTAGTCCAACAAATTCACTTTCTTCACTTGTAAGAAAATGCAGTAGGACAGCATTATATTATATTCTCGTTAGTAAACTCCATGCTAAAAACTCCATGATATTACCTTCCTTACATTCCACCGTTCGATTTCATTTTTGAGTTGCTCATTGATTTCTGACTGACTAACGTATGCTGATTCTGTTGATCCCAAAAATCATACCAAGGTCCATAGGTTTTACCATAATGCCTATCCTTATCACTACTAACAGAGGCACTATTTTCCCTAGTATCGTTTTGCCTATTGGACTTGTGTTGTGTACGTTCCAGTGTCATACTTGTTGTATTACTGCACTTCATTAGCCTTGTCCGTGGCAATATTGTGGCAGTGGGTGTATTTATTGTAGAATTTACGTTACTATTGCGTGTCATTGTGTTACTATTGTTAATATAACGTTCCTGTTCTTGTTGTTGTTCTCTATGTTGTTGTTGTTGTTGCTGCTTATGTTTTTGTTGCTGTTTTAATGTAGCGGAAGAGCCGCCATTTGTAATTCTGTTATCATTTTTCTTTTTATTCATGGTTGATGTTGCGCCTTGTGAAGCTGAAGTCGTAGTGGCACGAAATGTTTGAAACTCCATTTGATGTTCCTGATAAGAATTGTGCATTTGACGTCTATGTTTGTCATCCTTGCGCACTAAATGATCATTGATGACAATGCAATCATATGGATCGGAACTAGTGGATTTTATTTCAGCATCATCCGATTCATCTTCACTCGTATAATATTGTTTAAGTATGTCTTTACGTTTAACTGTTTTCATGATAAGACCACCGCCTGTGTTGTCACGCGGCAAATCATCAAAAAAATTATTAACATCGCTCATTTTTAGTGTGCCATTATCATCGCTGTCAGCTTCATCCTCTGTCGAAGGTAACATATCCTGAAGTACAGCTCTACTTTGCGCTGGTTGCGATTTCGTTTGTGGGGTCGAATGATGATTCGATTTCATATCATTCAATTTTTTGCTTGCATTATTTGAAGAGTTTCTATTTTGCATATTCATATTAGCATTTTTCTTAAGTTCCTGTTCTCTGCCATTCGAATTTCTCATGACCGCTTGCTGGCTCATACCACTTTCTCTATACTCTTTCTGATATTCCTTTTGTCCTCGTTTTATGGTGCTTAAACGTTCACTCTCCGTTGGATTTTCTATATCAATTTCGATTGTTTTCATAATTTTCATGCGTGATTTGGGTGTAAAATTCGATTGCATTGTGGATTGTGTAGAATTCCGTTGCTGTACTATATTTTCGCGTTGCATTACCGGACTCATACCGTAAATATTTTCATCGTCGTCATACATTTCCATACTGGTAATGCTATCTTTACGTCGTTTCTCATGTGTTGAACTGGAATTGGAATTGGAATTTGAATTTGATTTTGTGAGCGTAGCATTTTTATCGAAATCATGCTCTTGCTGTTCAGTTTCATTGTTGAGCTCATCACGCATTTCTTCAAGATTTGGTGCGGCTACTAAGTCACGATGTTGCCATAATGACATACCCGCTAAAATATCATCATGACGCCCACCGAATTTCCAAAATGACTTAGTACGTTTTATGCCACCGCTCGAAGCATGCAATATTTCATCGTCACTTGCAATGAGATCGTATCTCATTTTATTGCTATGTCTATTGAGTGTGTGTAAACTCCTATCATCAATCTGACTATCCACGCTGTTGCGGAAATTACGATTCAATGTCCAGGAAGCTACTTCACGTGGATTATGAGAGTTTGTGTCAGCACGTCGTCTGTGCGATTGGAACAGATATTTTATGTGATCGTTTTTATTTTGGACAGGTTTTAGCATTTTTTACAGGAATAATGTTGGTTTTAGCAATACAGTCAGGATTAAGGTTAGGCATAAAATGTCGGTGATCAACATAAATTTGATGAAATCATGGAACAAAAAATAAAAATTAAAATGTAAAAATGAAATATTTATTAAAATAAAATATTAGAAAAAAAGAAAATATCATATTAGCAATAAATAGAAAAAATGGTTGGTAACAACATCAATGTTAGTTACAAAAAATTTTAAGTTTTTTTTTTAAATATAAAAGAATGAAAATGTCCTGATAATGAATTAAATCAACAAACCTATTAAATAAATAATATGAAGATCTTATAAATCAAAGTCAATATTGTGATGTTCTTTTGCATCTCATAAGTTAATATAATTTATAATATAATATGTAATATATAATATATATAATATATAATATATATAATTTATAATATAATTTAATTAAAATTTATTAATTTAAGTGTTTATTACACAAATTTTTTTAAAAAGTGTTATTTTATTATCTTGACCTACATCTTTGTATACCTAACTCTAATCAATCGTATCACTCTGCAGTTTAAAGACTTCAGGAGCTCCTTTCATTCCACAAACTCAATAAAAATATTTATATTCCGAACTGAACTATATTATATTTACTGTAAGACTATATTATAACATTATATTAATTATTTGTATAATTAAATATGATATGCATGAAAAATTGCTGGACATAAGCATAATAGTGCTAGGCAATACCATTATAAATATTATTATTGCCTGAAACCAAAGAAAATAGTTTTACTGTTTTGAAGTAATTAATCATTAAACCCTTTTTTAGAAAGTATGTTGGATTTATTATTATATTGGTAATATAGGGTAAAATACTATATTATTATTAAACACTAGTTTTAGAAATAATATGTAAATCTTTTCTTGCATTAAAATTTAGGGACACAGATTTTTGGTTCCACATCTTCAGATTTTAGCCTAAAATATGTAAATTTAGTTTAAAAATCAATATGAATCAAAAACTTGGTAAGTCTATTTAAAATTATTAATAGAAATTCTCTAAATCAAATAGGTTAAAAATCTATATCGCTCATATCTGTAAATTTTGCTAAAAGAAAATAATATTAAAAACACTATTCAGATATGTATTTTAGTCTGTTGAATAATTATATGAGTATTAAAACACATTTTTTTAACTCCAAGGATGGAGAAACTTAACGTGGAAAAAAAGCTAATTTGCTTAAATCCCATATATCCCAATACTTTTATTTTCATAGATTTGTTGATTTAATTGAATGGATCATGTAACCATTATGTTTCACCAAAACTTACCGTATGGGTACACGACTAGTTTGTTCCTCATCAGAATAATCGACTTCGGGTTGTGGTGGGGGTTCATTGGAGAAACCACTATCGGCACTACTATGTAGTGAAGCTTTAGCAGTTGCTGTTGGTTTCGATTGATTGCTAGAGCTCACATGATTCATGGAAGTCTATGAAATATACATAAATATTTTAGAATAATTTTTTTTTTGGATTATATATAAATGAAATTAAAATTTATTCTTACATGTGATGTTTGTTGTCCGTTTTGTGCCTTATGCTTACGACGCTCTATTACAGATGGAGCACCATTTGGTGCACAAAAACTTTGTGATGTATTCAACATACGATTTGAATTTTGATTTGTGGGCACTGGTGCTGGCAGAGTTGGTGGCGGCCCGGGTCGTGGGTTGCCATTTGATTGTGGACGATACTATAAGTAGGATAATGACAAATAAATAATATATAATATAAATATAATAAAATATAATATAGAACATAGATCAGGGCTGTCTCGGCCCTGTCCCAATCTGTACAGCGATCGCATCTGGTTTGGACAATGTATCTGATATTAACAATCATCCGGTTTTATTTTTTTGTTTCTGTTTACAATAAATTACTACTGCTAACATCACAAAAAATAAAGTCAGGTAATTTTCACATAATTTTACCGAGAAAGAATTGGAAAAGTACTTTCAAACTTATATGGTTTATCATTTTACCAAACATCAAAGTTGATCTCAATTTACAAATTTATAAATATTTTTGAAAAATTCTATATTATATGGTTTATCATTTCACTAAACATCGAAGTTGATCTGAATTTACACATTCATAAATATTTTTAAAACATTATATATTATACAGTTTATCATTTTACCAAAGATCGGAGCTGGTCTGAATACCCCTTTTAACACATTCAAAAATATTTTTATAAATTTCTATATTAAATTGCTAATTTCAAAACTTGAAAGTTACTGAATGCTCTACGATATACTACTCAAAACTAATCCAAACATCTGCTTCACCCATAATATTACCTTCTTTTGATTACGGAAATTAATAGTATCACCAAACATTCTAGTCGGTGATGACTCCTCAGCGCTATTATTGCGTCTTCTATAGGTCGAATCACTTTCCATGGTTGTATCCATATGGGTCTCCGACATATACTGATTTCTATAATTACGCATGCCGCCATTATTATGCTCGAAATGCATATTCTCGTAACGATCGTTGCGTTCGTTGCGTTCATGTTCAAGTTTATTCTTCTCATTGCCTTCAGCATTTGTGTAGGCAATGGGAAACCAACCAAACATTTGGGTACGCAAATTTTCACCAAATTGCCAACCTTTAGCTTTACTACCAACCAAAGCAATCTTATCACCTTCATCGAAAGGTAATTGATTTTCACCGGATGGCATGTAGGCATAGAGTGCCTTGACTACAGGACGTTGATCCCAATGTGTGTGATCAGTATGATCGTTTGCTAAAATCAAACGTGAATATTATTTTATAAATTTTATAATAGCTATTGGCAGATAACTAATATGAACTTACATGATGTGGTTGTAGCTGTCAAATTAAAATCTGATTTGGCACGTGGTAATGAATTTTGTGTGTAATTATTACTGGTTTCATGTAAAGTGCGCATATCACCGTATGGTGCATCAACACTACGTGCTTTCTTCAGCTGTGAAGCGTTATGGCTATGACTATGGTTTTCATCAGCATCTCTGATGCGTTCCTAGTTATAAAAATTGATAAAATATTCGTATGTTTTTTTTTATTCAAAAACCATTACAATACTAAACACTTACAATACGTTTATGTCCGTTGAGATTAGTCTCATATGCCAAAGTAGGTATAACCTCACGCGATGCTGCAATTTCTTGCCAATTTTCCAAATTATTATCGATTACGCTTTTGCCGGTATTATGATAAGCCATCCAATGTTTCGCAATGGAACACTGACGTTCCAAGACAAAACCATAACGACGTCGTTCTTGTGTCATGGCCTACAACAGATAGAACATGAAATCCATTAAAAACACGATAAGGGTACATGAGACTCAAATAACAAACTTATTTTATGAAGCTTAATATAAGGTATGTAACACATGAAAATAAAAAAAGACTTAAGTAACAAACTCATTATGGAAACCATAAAGCAAGAGACTTAAGCAACAAACTTACATTTTTGTAGCTTTGCTCACAAAAAGCATCAAGTTTTTTCTTCTGATCTTCCAAAATTTGCAAACTCTAAAAAGAAAAAAAATAATTTGTATTGCTATTGAATTATTTTTAAAGGTTAAAGTTTAAACTAAACAATAATGAAATATATAAAAAAGTACGTGAACACGAAAGTGACTATTACTTTCAAAGTAAATGAGAACTGACTACACAGAAAGGCGCTTGTAAAGTGCAGTCATGTGTTATATATATATAAATACTTATTAAATATAGTTGTTCATAAATTTGTTTTTTTTTTGAAACATAAACTTTCTAGGAAATAATCTTTAGAGTCTCACCCTCAATTCCTTTTCAGTATTTTCAGGACTGGCTTTCTTCTTGCGTTGTTTTTTCATAGTTGAGACTGCTTTCTGATAACTTTCCATGCGTACTTTGTGTTGTTGCAAGAATTTTTTCTGTTCATGTTGCACAACTTTTGTATCTTTTTCGAGATTTGTTTCTAATGGCACTAATAAATCCACATAAAATGCTTTTAACTTT